TTGTTGTTATTGCACTCATGAGATGATTAACTTCAAATTGACAAAATTTGTTGTGCAAAAACCGAAAGAGTCGTTGAAGCGTCCAAACGCTGAAGGTCGCCTTGACCATACTCAACACAACGAACACCACAAATGAATTGAGCAAACAAACAAAACAAAAACGGAACACGAAGCGAACAAACATGCGAATGAGCTGAACGCGGAATATTCAATAAATGCTGACAAAATGAGCTTTTGTTATTGTTGGAGTTTAAATTAATAATTGTGGCACGCGCAGACATACAAACCAGCGAAAATGTTAGTAAAAGCAAATGATTTTAGTTTGAGTATTGAGCCTTTACCAGTTTCATAACCATACCGACATTATACACCTGGTGTATGTTTCATTAATTCCACAATTTAGCGTCAATATTGAATGCTTCGGTTATTCCGAAAAATATCTATGCCTGGCGTACTTAAATCAAAGCCGTCATTGGGGTAATTCTTAAATTTTCCCACCGACTGCAAACAAATATTATATCATATACTCATACAAGGGCAGAACAGAAAGTACTCGAGCTGACTAAATTTTCAACTTTCCTTTTAATGTGATAATTCCAATAGAGATTATTTAGATAAGCGTAATCGAGAGATCGTATCATAAAGAAACAAATCTTGGCTGTCATTACTTTCTTGAACACCTTTACTCATTCAACTAAAGAAATTACGCTATGAACTAGTCATTTATAAAAGAGTAAGGGATCAATCCTGACAGTGTTCTCACTTGGACAGCTTTGAACGCGGGACCGTTGTGGCCTCTAAAACTCTCACAGTAATAGCTTAAACGTTCTTTACAAATCGGCAAAGCACTTTGAGCCTCTCAAAACTTTGTTGAGACGGCTAATAAGAGCTTCGGCTATGCCTTCAACAAAAATAGGTAATACTGCCGAGATGATAATAAGAGTTCGGCTATGTCAAGTGATTCACTAAAGCTAAGACTTTCGAGATATCTCAACCTCAGTCTTGCAAAGGCTGGAGAATGGAAGAAAAAATGTCCGGATGTTTCTACCTCCTTTATACAACTTTGACAACTAACATCCGAAAAAATTTTTAGCGTTACCGTACGAATTAAACAGTATCCACCTACGATACCGTCAAGATAAACTTTGCTAAAGTCCAACTTTACTAAGAGCAAGTAGTTAAGCAGGCCTAGGCTAAAGTAATTTCGAATTTATACAGCTGCTGGTAGTCAGCCAGCGCCTGCTAAGGGCACGCGAAGTCCATTGATCAAGCACTAGAAAGCAAAACGACAAGGTTGATCCAACTCGCTCACATCGAAACGAGGTAAAAGTGCCCTCTCTAACTGGCTTATCGGCTTCGCGGCTGCCAGTGTTTCCACTATAACCAGGCACCCAACCGAATTTGATGATCAATTAGCTTGATGCTACAGGGTTTGTCCAGAAAGTAATAGGTCTGATTTTCTTCAGTCGCGACGGTTATTCGCTGGAGGGCGTTCCTACTTAATGAACGAGCGGCTGCTCAGTTGTCTTCTAGCACCTGGATAGTCAGGACAAACATTTTCGCGCGACGTGTTTCTGTAAGTGGTGGATGCCGAAAATGCAGCATTCGACTTCGACAAACACCGATAATGTGACGTGTGCTCAAAGTTTTGAACTCAGACCGTCCACTAAGTATTCATTTAATTTGCCCATATGTTAAATTTATCAAAATCTGTGGCTCTTGACATTGTAACGGATCACTTGAACAAGCGCAAGGTGTGCTGGAAGATGGTCCCAAAAGTGCTCACTAACAACTACAAATTTCGGTGAGTGGAATTGTGCCAAGAAAATTTAAACATTTGTGAAAGTGATCCCAAGTATTTGAATAATGTAATCACAGGTGACGATGATCCCGAGACAAAGATGCAGTCTTCCGAGTGGCACACGCCGGTGACTCCTCGCATGCACCTCGGCTCTCAAGGCTATACCTTCCGTGACGCCTTCAATGCTTGGAAATCCCGCTGGCAGCACTGTCTCTACGCTGAAGGAGCCTATTTTGAAAGCTTTTAAAGACTTGTAACGATTGGTGCAATAAATTTTTTTAAATCGACTCAGTCCTATACTTTCCGGACAAAGAAAAGGATTTTACTCAAACGAGGAGATCAAGAAGGCCTTGAAGCTTTATATTATGGAATCGGCATCACCAATATAACATTCTGCTAGCTGAACATTGCGTTGAAGAATAAGTCTCACTCAAAAATGTTATTGCACTGTTATCCAAAAGCTTTCAATAAATACATTCTTCTTCTCAGGGGTTTCTTGCTCCAAAAATATTTTTCGATTTTTTTCGGTACTTCTGACGCCACCCTCGTATATGCGCAACATAATATTAAACAACAACTGATGATTAACTAATTTCAAGAGCTGTCATCTGATGATTTTAAATCAAAGTGTTTCGGTGTGTTTGTTAGTTAACAAATTTTGAAAAGCATTTAATCCGATTTCATTCATGAATTCGACTATTTCACATGTTTTTCTGCTCAACTTCGCACTTCATTCGAAACGTACTTCCATTGAGTCGGGCTATCAGTCACAACACCGATTGCAAAACAGTATTGCCGCCATTAATCGTGAGTCATGATTTTATGCCCAATTTACATTTTTTGTACCTTCATGACGTCAAACGATTGGCATTGCTAATTATAGCCCGCTCGAGTTGGCCTCTTTTACACCGTTTTATTTTTTGTCTTTCTTTCTTGGTCTCTTTTGTTTTGTCGTTTGTTTTTTCCTTTTGCTCAATTCCATTTATTTTACTTTTTTCTCCGCTTTTTCGTTGAAAATTGATTTGGAAAAATCGAATCATTCATCTTTTACATACCCAGTGTGTTGACCTATATCTTATGTTGTTTATTTTTTATTTTTATTGTAATCATTTGCTTTGGTTTTCTACCATACCGTGCTCATTATGTAATGCCTTAAATGATGACTGCATATGGGTACCTAAAGCATCGTAATATTTTCGAACCCGCTATTGGAAAAATTTGCCAATCATTATATCCCATATAAGTACAGTGAGCAGATGGCGGTTTAAATTTGAATAAAAAAAGGAAGATGTTATAAGAGTTTTTTTAATGCCTAGCTTGCCAGATTTCGATAGTAAATCCAGTAATTCCCTTTTCTTACATAGGGTGTTTTCAGTAATATTGAATTTCCTTTGAATTTCCTAGAGAAATAGCTGTCAAACCAACCGTCATGTGTTTCACAAACTATGTAAGGAATAACTAGGAAAAAAGTTAAAAGTTTCGTAACGTAGTATCGGTGACCAAATCCCACAAACTCAATTCTACCACTAAAATCCGTCACAATCGTTCAAATGTTCGAACGGCAAAACCTAATGTTAGATATTTCATTAATTTGTATACTCTAACTAATCTTAACTGTGATTCAGAGTACGATACAAAGCTTTTATTATTAGCTATTATGTTTTGTAAATGTGGGCGTGGCCCGTCCTCTAATAGATTTAATGTACATACATACCTTCTAAACTACTAACACCATCTCAACCTAACTTGCTTAGAGCTAATTGTTTTGTTATCTTCTCCGACAGTCTGAATTCGGATAATAAACCCATCACCTCTTCGTACAACAATTTTGTCAAAAAATTCTAAAAATGCGATAAATCGTTAAATAAATGCGGCAGTGACAATAATTGATACGAGAGCTTTATTACTTCCCGAATTTTAGATTCCATCTAATGTTTTCACTTTCCACTATACAAATATATCAGTAATAAATATATCGAGATTAAAATTTGCATAAATAGTGCCTTTGAGGTGCATGTATGCCATCTCAAATCTAAAAATGTTCAAAGTCGGACTACAACTGTCTTTGGCATGGCCACCACGGGCACGATTACAGAAGTCATCGTTGAGCATAGACCATAGACTTGACGTAGTCCAACAGTAAATAGACTAAGGGCATCAAATTCCACAACCGAGGCGACTATTTGACTGGGCCATTTCGCGAGATAACATGTTCACCAAACTTGGTTTTCAATGAATCGTTTGCGTTTTTAAAGTTGAGACCTCTGACTCCGAATTTCGGTAGTAGATTTTATTCATTTCGACTCGTTGTTGTATCGTATATCATGATAATATGGCAAACCTTACTGAAGATAAATGTCAAAAATGCGAAAAAAATATGACGTCGTCTGTTTTTTATCGGTTTACTTTTGTAGCGTCGTTTTGAAAACCCCCATTATAACCTTAGCGAATGACCTCTTAAGTCGACTTGAGGCACATCTAAGCTTTTTCAAATTTATCCATTGAAATCAGAATTAAATTTCACTATACTTAATGTCAGATATAATTTTACACTGAAAAAACATTTCGGTGAGCAGACAATTTCACGTTTTAGAGCGGTCGATTAGCCAATAAGAATGTGTGATATCACATCGTTAGACTGTTCCCTATGATAATATGTAAAGTCTAAGGTCTATGCTGACAATCCCGCTTAGATTCAGGCTTTGGAGGAGCAAAATATCACGCGTGTCGTTCGCCAGTTACCAGTCGAAATGCCCCTACGAGTCATCAAAATTTTAACTCAAATGATGGATCATCTGAGACGTGGCCGCGACCAACATTTGAAAGTGATAATCTTAAAAAAATTTATGTCAAAGAATATTCTTTGGAATAATACATAACATTCAACATTAAATTTGAAATTTTTGTGTTTTTTTTTTCTCTAAAAGAGGAGGAAATCTCACACTTTAGCTCTTACATTTCAAACGTATAGTGTTGACTGCGCTGATTGAAGAGTTGTCTGATTAAAATAGTACCCACAACCAGCAATAGAGTTACCAAAGATATTATTATTATGCCACAGCTTAAAAAAACAAATTCACATTAAATTTATTAGCCATCCGGTAGTTCAACTAAAAATCAACACCTCCATAATATTATATATAATATGCCTCTTGTAAAATGGCTAAAGTGTAAAGCAATTTTTCAAAAAATTTAAATATTATTTTTTCATATTTTATTCCATTTAACTAAATTTCGAGTAACTCTTACAAACGACAATATACCCGCTGAATCTTATAACCTCACAACTGTTTTAAATGCTCCAAATTTCGTTTTTATTTTGGCCATTTCGCTGTTTTGTTGATTGCATCAATTCGTCGCTGTTGAAATCTCATAAATTTGTTTGTGGCCGCATTTCCTTTCATTCTTCGCACATCTTCACACCGTAACTACTTGCAATCACATTTTCGCTCATGAACTCTAGTTGATATTACTTGTTTTATTATGTTTTCATCTTTCTCTACCTTCCCTCTTCCCTTCAAAAATGCATTCGGTTGCCAACTGTTTCGCCTGCGAACAGATGAGGGCATTTTAATGGTTTAAAACAACAACAAAGCTAAATATGTTGCAGCTAAAACATGTGAATTATATATTTACTGCTGATTTTTTACAACAAAATTGTTTTATTGCTTGTACTAAACTGTTTGTTGTTTGAGTTTGTGTGAGGATGGCAACTGCGCAGGCTCAAAAGCACCAACTTCCACTTACACAGAGTTTGGATGGAAACACAAAAACATAACATTTCCACATAAATTATGAAGTAATTAGTTATACTTTTAACATAAATATGGCATAAATGTCTTAATCAGCTTGTGTACGAGTATTATATATTATAATTCAGTACGGTGTGAACTTGCATGATTTTTACCCGAGATAGCAGGGCATTCCCTTCTTTTGTGTTTTAATTAAGATATACACTTGTTATACCGGTATTTTAGATCATTTAATTAGATATAGTCATACATAAAGTATGAATAATGCGGGTTCAAAATTAAAGGTTAAACAAAACACTCTAATAAACCAAGAAAAGCTGCAGTGTGATCTTAGAAAGCAATGCAAGAACTCTGCTTGAGTTTCTCACTATAAAAGTCTACCACAAAATTGAATTTTCATTCGGTTTAGCAATTTGTACAGGTATCCATAGTTCATTAGACTGCGTTCACTCACGAAAACATCTGTCTCTAAAACTAGTATTTTAATGGCAATGACCTATCCTAATGGAGAATTTCCCAATAATGAGCACCGTAGTTCCTTGTATGTAAACCCAGTCATGTGGACTGTATAACTGGGTTAAGTACTAACTTCAAAAAATGAATACTCAAATTCCAATTTTCTGAAGCTGTCGCATATAGCAATATATTGAAAAGTTATTGCAATTTCTGCCATATTAAGCTCATGGTTTTAGATGTAGATGTAAATTTCAGAAGTAGACTTTAACTTTCGAAAAATTACTCTTACGATGATTTTCTACAATTATCTTCGTTGTTCACACTGTGAAAGCCACGCGCTAATAATTATAATGTGAAGATAGCGAGATAATTATTTCCACAGCATCGGAAAAGGCGGAGGAAAGGTAAAAAAAAAAAGTTGGAAGTATTCATAAAATGCAATCAGTTATAAAATTTTTTCATTAACGGCATGCGCAATAACTATTTTTTTTTTATATTGATTGATTTCAAATTTCTCAATTTTCCCGAATTGAACTCTGCTCCGGATTAAATATTGTGAAATCATGATTTCCGCAACTTTTATCATCATTACATCAAAAAATCAAGAAATATGGTGTTCTGCTTTCTATATAACTTTCTGGGTAGTTTTCTGCTATAATGTAAAATAAAGAGATATTTATTGAAATTGCACGCAATTCCATTTATTGGACTCACTTTTAAACAGTGTTTAAGAGGTGGCTGTGTGACGACGCAAGCGACCGGGAATAAAATGGCCTCACTCCATTGTTTCTTCTCTGAACCACCCCATGCTTTTGATGAAATCCAGCAGTAAACATTTTATCTGTGTAACCTCCGAAATATCGCCAAGAAAACTTCGATTGTGGGTAAGTGTAAAATTACGCCATTAAGTAAAAAAATGCTTGACTCGCCGTTGTTCCGAGAACTCAGTAATGAAAATACTACCTGCCCTTTATAGACTTTGTATACGCCTTACCGCGTAGTTCTACAAATATGTCATTATTGACCATCATACCATATACTGTAAGTCATAATCGGTGCTGTGTAGAATCAATGCGTTACCCGAGCCGTTAGTACCATCCTCTTGGAGCTGTACAATAATGTAGTTACTTTCTAACTACCTAGCTTCCCAGCGTTTGAATTTGGCTTCCATGAAAGCTTCCTGTTTAAAAGTAGTCCCAAGTAGATTTCCCTATATCCTATGCTTAGCCTGGTACTACTTAATAATAACTACTAGAACTCGGTGTTTCATAGTAAATAGTACCAGCTCTGTTTTTCTTTAATTTTAGTGCAGTTTGCATGATTTATATCGGTAATTGTGTGGCGCCACATCAGCTAAATTAACCTCACATCTTTTCTAGATCTAAGAAAATTTTATTCATTTTTAAGATTCAGAGATATGGAGGAAAGACGCGTTTTGAAGATTGGACAGATCTGACCATCGTTGAGACTCCCAGCCTTGAAATTATTTACCTCCTTATGAACATTTGTTCAATCATTTCGCTGAGAGGTTCACAGATGTTCACCTGTGCTTAGTGTTATTTCTATGAAATTTCCTTTAAAATTCACTTACTCCAAAATTGCCAGTTATTCTGAGTTAAAGTTTAAGAGGAATGAGGAAAGACTAATTGGTCTGAATTCAATTTTGACTTCTCTTCATAACGAGGGAATACAGTTTAATTGCAGCGCTCCTTAAAGAACGATTACTACTCCAATATCTTGTGTATACTCAACCGTTCGGTTTCCAGAGCTGCCTGAATATTTCGATTGGTATTATGCGATTAGTGATAATGGCATGTCTATTCTCCCAGTACGTTTTAGCTTTCATATATATCTGATATCCGTATATACATATATGCTCATGATATTGAATATAAATTCAGATGATACCAAATACAAGTAAAATATATGAAAATTTTTAACAATGGCCGGTTTTGCATATTTTAGCGATGTGAAATGCGTCTGTATAGTTAAAATAATAGATGTCACAATTTGACATAAATCGATAGATCGAGGAGCCTGAGTTGTACACTTGTTCCGCATTGGCAAGGCAACGCTTTAGAAATTTGCGTGAAGCTCAAGCATCGTAAAGGATGACTACTTCTCAGGAACTTCGTAACGATATCGCAAATTAAATTTATTTTGTCCTAAATTCTTAGACCAAGTATCCTCTGGGTAGCCAAAGAACATCCATTTGAGGATGAACCATTTCTAACCAGAGTTGTCCGTTGGGTTTAAGACTCGCCACGTAAAAAACGCCCCCCATGAAAAGGAAACAATAGCTTCGGACGAGAAACTCCCCTTTTTATGCCGACCACAGCAAACGCATTAAAGATTATGATTTAAGGGCATACACCAGGAATGTCCGGTCCCTTAATAAGTCAAAGTTCAAAGAAGTATGATGGACAGGACAAGGTCATTGTGGCATTACTACAGTGGCCATATAAATTAGCTAGTTCTTGATATTGCTATTTCGAACTGAGAACGCAATTAAGAAGTAAAGTCCTCTCTCGGCGATCTCGGCAAGTCACTGATCATTCCATCCTGCTATATGATGCAGAGGCATGGACGATTACAGCACCTGATTAGTCGGCGTTACGAGTTTGCAGGAGAAAGATTATGCAGAAGTTTATGGTTCTTTGCGCGGAACGATAGTCTAGCGAATTAAGAGACAACGGCTACGCTGGCTAAGTCATGTATCGGAGGCAGTACCCGCCGAGGGAAGCAGATCTCTCCTCCATTAGAAAGAACCAGAAACCAGGTGCAGAAAAACTGATCATCAATTGCCGCCTCGTAAGCGATGTCTGCCCCAATAAAGAAGAAGAAGAAGGAATTAATTATTATTTGTAAGCTCAGATGTCAAATAGTTAGTTTTAAGAGGTGTAGCTTTATCAAATGCCTTACTTTTATTTCAAACAATCACCAAACATTAATCATAGATATTCGAAAAACCCGAAACTCATATTTATGTATGAACACGATCGGCAATAACTAGCGACCTTTAAGTATTCGCAGAAATCATACAGGTAAACTACCAAAACTTGCTAAGCAAAGGCCTCGGCACAAACTCGCCGTACACACTTGGAGGCTCCTCGTGACGTCACTCTCTAGGGAGTGCATGCCGCCATAAAAAAGCCAAATGTTTTGAGAGACAACAACGAGCAATTGTTAAGGGCTTTAACTGAAATGTGCAGGAACTAAACTATTGTCTTTCTTACTGGTTTTGCTTTGGCCGTCTGTTCGTTAAAACGCCGTTACGTTGCAGGTTTTTTTTTTTTTTTGTTTTTTTTTTTTTTTTTTTTTTTTTTTTTTTTTTTTTTTTTTTTTTTTTTTTTTTTTTTTTTTTTTTGAAAACGCTTTGTCTCTTCGCAGTTTTACTCACTGAGCTTACCGGCTTAGCTAGCCGCAACTGCGCTCTGCCAGCCGACAACGGGCGGTAGTGGTATAAAATGTTGTGTGAGGTCCAAAACAAAGTCAGTCAAGCAGCCAACACCAGCAAAGCGCACAGCGCGATCAACAGAAAAGGAGCCAGGAATTACCCTTTTCATTTTGTGCTTTATTACATAAGGATACAAACAACAGTATTGTGGACAAATTAAGCATTTACGAGTGTTAAGTGATATTTATTTTTATTTCGAAACCGAATTCAGGCGAAACAAGCAAAAAGGTGAGTTTGGCAAAAAGCTAAAATTAAAAGTTCAAAAACCAAAAACAAAAAACAAAAACTTTACGAAATTATGAAATGTGTAAAACAAGCAAAAAACTTTAATTGTGTCAACAGTGAAGGTAAAAGGTGTAGCAAAAGTGAAAAAATTGTATGTAAAAGGCGTGTCAATCAAACGCTTGAATAAAAATCGTTAAATATAAGATTTTACTTCAATATGTAAAAATAGTGTGCAAGCGATCACAAAAAATCCATTTGTCTACCAATTTTCAAAATATATGAAATATTAAACAAATTAACGGTATAAGTGCAAGCGAAGTTGCAAGAAATTTGTAGTTGCCAATGAATTGAAAATAACGCGCATTTGTTGCATGGCGACTGGCTGCAAATTCGCAGCGCTCGTGTGAAATGCGAAATTAATGTGCATAAATTTGTATTATGCATTATGATCACTATCGAGGAGAGCGCTAAACGAAAGACCAACTAAGGAAATGCAAACTGCCAACAACCACGCTCTCTAGTGTAGGTTTAATGAACTGAACAATGTATGAGTTGCGAAAACTATTTTCAAATATCTTTTTTTACATATTTTTCTTATTTGTTAGCAGCCAAAGTGGAATTATGAAATTTATGGACACAGTTGTCATAATTTGACATAAATAGACTTAAAAGGTTTTATTTGTCAAATTGATTAGTAAAAAAAACATGGTTTTTATGCAAATTTCAACTCTAAATGGAGCCCGACAAAGGCATGATTTTTTTCATAAAATTTTAACTGCCGATATTATTTTGTAACGATTAATTGTAAAGCATTATGGTTCCAATTTTTCTTCTGAAAATTATTAAGAAATTTTACCAAAATTGACTTAAAAAGGGTTCCCTCATTTATATCTAATTGAAATTTTTTAATTCAACGAAATTTCAAAGGACAGTACTACCAACTTATCAAAATATATTTTTCCACTTATGCCAATGATTTATCCAGTCCTCGAAACACTTTTCAACACTTTTTGGGATCGATTTCAAATCCTTGAACGAATTCTGTTTTATCCCTTCAATTGACTGAGAAGAGGTTCCATTTTGATGATTGTTGACTTCTTTGCATGTAAAACTCATAAAACCATGTTTCATGAAAGTCATGAATGTGGGATCAGAATTTGCACGAACACGAATGTCGAAGGAGACCTTTTTACGATATTCTTTTTGAAAAAAATTCAACTTAATCGTGACGAGTCGAGCAAGAACGCGTTTCATACCCAAATCATTAACCAAAATCATTCTAGCGGACTCGCGAGAGATGTCGAGCTCTCTTACCATCTCTCTAACACTTGATTGACGGTTTTCTAGCACCATATACTTCATTTTTTTAGTATAATTCGAATAGGTCGAAGGCGACGAGGCATCTCTTCAACAGCTTCACAGATGCCTAAAACAATGCACGCTCAGAATGGCCTTAAGGTGGAAGTGTTAAAAGCGTGTTCTATATCTATGAAGGCTATGAGAGTGTATGCTTTTATATGCAGAGCTTTTCAATCTCTGTTGCACCTGTGCTTACTGCTCTTTCTGTGAATTTTCTTTTAGAATTCGCATACTCCAAAATTTCCAGTTTCCCTGAGTTAAATTTCATTGTTCCAAGGCTTTTAAGATCAGGAAAGACTAATGGGTCTGTAATTATTTTGAGCTTATGACTTGACTTCTTTCATAACGGGGGAATATAGTTTATTTGCTGCGCTCCTTTAAGAACGGTTAGTAAACAGACTTTTATGTAACTCCCGGTAACTTGAAGGACAGGAATGGTATCTATCACTACTCCACAGTCAACCGTTTATTTTCCAGATCTGCCTGAGAAAGGCCTACGTCCAGAACGAGGGATCTCTTCAAAGATCTGTCGATCTTCTTTGAGGGCTTTGTACTACTCGTGGGCTTGTGTTTTTGATAAAACTGAATCACTGTAAACTTTTTCCAATATTCGCAACGATTCCGCTCACGAAATTTAGTTAAAAACTTTTGGAAACATATTTTGTTCGATATTTTTATTTATTGTAATACTCGCAAGACAGTGTACCAAGGTGTACCTACTGTAACACCCAGTAAAACCCTCGGTTGGGTTGATTTAGCCATGTCAATTTATCTGCCTGTCAGTACACATATACGCGAAATTGTAACTCAGTTTTTGAGATATCGTTCTAAAAATTCGCAAACTACTCATTTGTCGAAGGGTTGCAGGGTGTTTCAATAGAGAACAATTTTTTTTTTAATTTGCCATAAATTTATTTTATATTTTGTTTAATAAATAGTGTTTTTTAAATTTTAAGATGGAAAATATTAATGAGTCAAAATTTTAATTCTTTCTATAATTTTTAATTTTTTTCAAAAATTTTCATTCCGACTTAAATAATGAATATTTTACCCAATTAGAAAATCCAAAAACAAAACTGTACATACAATACTCTTACAATAAAATGCAACTCGGCCTGCAAAACACAATTAAAAGGGCGAAATTTTCAAACCGTAACGGGCCACTCACCGGATCCAGCGCCCGTTGCAATATTTCCATAATTTTTTTTCGCAAAATAAGCCGTTATATCAGCAGCATATATATGAGCGTATATGTATAACGGATGCGGTTGTATAATGAAAAACATAAAATAAAAGCATACAGACAATGAACTATTAAAACAATGCTTAAAATTCAGCTTCACACATACAGCACGCAACAGGTAATATGCAAGGCGTCTTTGTAAGCGTCCGTAACGTTTTTCGCTTCAGAAGACATAATTAAATCTTAAACCCACACACAACCAAAGCAACAAAGCCAAAAAATTTACAGTGAAACCGCCAGCTGCTTGATGCCTTCAACCCCCCCACACACAGGCCATCACATCACACACGCACACATATTTGGACATTTGGCCATTGCATAACAACGCCAAAATAAAACAACAACCGAAAATTGTCAAGCAACATAAGTCATCCAGGTCTCCGACGCATTCAAGTAAGACACAAGAAAAGGTCGTACACAAAAGCAACACAAAGCAACAAGGCCAAGTAAAAAGTCACGACTTCTCCCCTATGCCATTTGCCTTGCTTGACGGGCACGGCGCATAGTCGCTGATTTGCTCTGAAACATGTAGCGCCGCCGTTCGCACTGTGCTGCATTTAAGGAGTTAATCCACAAATCACACGTAACCCTCATTGTTTGCAGGTACTGTGTTGTGCAAAAAAGTTCATGTTTTCTTTTCTTATTATGCAAATGACTTCCCGCGCCAAACCTAAGCGCTTACATCAGACCGAGCGGTTCGCACTTCCTCCGCGTCGAGGTTAAGCTAAAAGTAAATATAATACACACAAAATGCACAGCGGCGCCTTCGCACCTGGAGTACATCCGCACCCCACTTTTGCGACTTGCAACATCACACCAGTTAATATCTTGCTGTTGTTGTGTTTCTTTTTTCGTTTCAAGCTAACGACCTTAAAACGAAAGTAAAAGTCTTTCGCGCCTTGCTTCGTCCACAGCGCGCTTAAGCAACTGCTAGCTCAAGCGTGACTCACTGCCAGTGCTATGCCGCTCTGAGCGCTAAGCTCTCTGCGGCAATGGCAGAGAGTCAGCAAACCGGTTGCTGGCAATTGCCGCAATGCTTTTACAATATTTATTGTTGATCTTTACGAAAGCGCGACAACAACAGCAACAGCGGCGGCTGCAAAGTGGCACAATGACCACAAATCTGTCTAGCGCCATCATTAATATTTAGGTTAATTAACACGCTACGCGCACGGTAAAACGCGTGAGCAGCGAAAGAGTAGTAAAAATCATTGAACTTGTGAAACATTTGAGTTGTTACCTCATTGCCGTTTGCCGCAATCACTAATCACGCGTTTATTTATTGTATTATTTTTACCGTTTTACAGCACAGACGCCTACACTATGAGATTAACACATCATTTGGCTGTTATGGCCGCCATACTTCTGGCAGGCTCTGCTCTCAGCAACGCTGAGGAATCAGCTTGGGGTGGCGGCTGGGAACCCACGAAGGAGTCAATGCTCAGCAGACGCTCGGCGGAGCCTGAGAAATCAGATGCCGCTGCTGTGCAGCCCGTAGAGGTACAGGGCCGTAATTATGGTGTGCATGAAGCGATCAATAGCAACGACACTAATACCGACCTCAATGCCATTATTGATCAGATTATCAATTCACGACGCGAAGGACGTATTTTAGGTGATTACGACCAAGTGTATGCCGATGGTAATATCGATCAAGCGCTGCAACAAGGTGACGATTTGCAAGCACGCAATCTTATACGCGATAAACTTTGCGGACTGGGTTTAATGAGCTGTGATGTTGAAGAGAAGCGTCCGTACTACTCAACCATATACGCACAAGGTCCACCACCATCATCGTTTGGTGGCGGTCCATATGGACCGGCCAGACCTATGCCACCACCGGGTCATTTCAATAGCCGTCCTCCACCACCACCACCATCGTCTTTGAACTCCTTTGGACCACCACGTAAGGTAGGTTATGAAGGCGCTTACAAACCACCTTTCCGTCCGTCGGGTTCAGGCGGTCCGGTATATAACGGTCCATATTTGGAAAATCCACCACCATCCGCAATTGGTACCACGGGTCCAAATACCTTTAACAAACCTCCACCTGGCGCTATTATTTATGGCAGTAAGCCACCAGGTCCAGTATACAGTGGCAATTCCGATGCACCACCACCGCCATATGCCTTTGAGAATCCCATCGGTGAGAAAATCCAGGCATCCGGTTCCTCACAAACAAATTTCTATGCCCATCAATCATCTGCGGCCTCATCAGCTTCCTCTTCGAAAGTAGTTGTTGGTAATTTGAATGCCATACCAGTGTCGGCGCCTGCCGGTGGCTTGCAGCAGCATGTGCACCACCATTTCCACCATGTCGAGGGCGGTGATGCTGGTGCTAAGGTGCCTACAGTACCCATACCAATTGGTGCTGGCCAATCGATCAACACCGACTTTTCGGCTCTTGCACAATCATCGGCTTCCTTCACACCACAAACACAAGGTGGCTTCACCGAATCGAATGCATTTAATGCCGGTTACAACGGTGCTTCACAAGGTGGTTTGCTCTCACAGGCGGCAGCTAACAGTTTCGGCAACTACGAGAAGCCCAACACTGACCTTTACAAACCTACAGGAGGCTTAGGCAGCTTTGGTAATGCTGGCGCACAAGGCCTATATGAACCAACTGGTATATCTGGTGGTCAAGGTGGTATTTACGAACAAAATGCTGGCGCTAGCGGTTTCGGACAGAGCGGATTTGCACAATCCACTAATTTCGGCCAATCGAGCAATTTTGGACAAGCCAACAACTTTGGACAGGCAAGCGGTAGTTACCATAGTCAGAATCCCGACTATTATAAGAAAGAGTTACAAAACTTCGGCGGCATTGGTACTTCGGCCGGTTACAACGGTATCGGCAACAATTTGGGTGGTCAATACCAAGGTGGATATGATACGTCACGTCAACAAATCGTGGATTGTCAGTGTGTACCATTTAATCAATGCCCTGCTGCCGATCGTATTGGACGCAAAGAAGATTTGATTTTGGCCATCGATCCACGTAATTTGGGTAAAGACATTGAAGCTCTGGGTGATGAAACTGCAACAAATGCGACCGTTAGCGCAACCGAAGAGAAAAAGGAAGAAAAGAAAGAAAAGAAAGAACAGAAAGATGAGGAGAGTAAACGCAGCAAACGTCAGGCGACGGCCGAAGATAAGCAGTCCGATGATGGTGCAGCCGATCTACCGCTGGATGCTGAAGGGGTAAGTGTAACAGATAAATCTATTTGACTAATACCATTTATGTTGTTTGATAATTGTAACCCGATTAATTTCGTCTCTAAACAACCGCAAAAATAAACAAAAATGTATAACAAACTAATTGGCAGCACAGGTTAAAGCCGCATCACTCTACTACGTTCCACAAGCACACTCATGAACCACATTACGCGTTACACGTCCCCAGCAACCAAACCAGCCGACTTAAAAATATATATGTAGTTCAAATTGGTCACAAACAAAGTGGATACCTGGAGACTTATGAAAATGAATAAAATAAAATCTTGTGGTTGCAACATTTCTTGACGCGCTCTCAATGTAACTAATCACACTAAAAACTCTCCATCTCTAACTGCACTGCCAAAGCATTCATTCCATTCGGTTGCAAGTCGCACGCGTACTAAGCATGCCAAAACAAAACCTCACACATGTGCCATCCGCTCTAAACCTCTTACCATTTTATTCATTTCCTATTTTTCACTTATCCCTCCTCAAAACCATCGACCATGTATAGCGCACTGGCATACCCGATCTGGCAGCCATCGAGCTCATAAAGCGTAAAATTCTTCCCACATATGGTGTATCATTTGGATTGCCATACCCCACCGGTGGTGGTGGTTATCCCGCAAATCCACAAGGCGACTTTTATCCAGCACCGAATCCGCACTTCGGTTCGATTGGACCGAATGGCTTGAATTTAGGTCTTCTAAATGTAAATCCATTGGTCTCCGTACAGGTGCAGAAAACCGAGTTCGGAGATAAAGTCGTGAAGCCACTAGTTAATCTTCATGTCACACCAAATGCGAACATTTTTCAAAAAGTCAGTGAATTATTCAAGTCAAAACCTGAATACATTCACAACACACATTATCATCATCATGATCATTATAATAGTTTTGAGCATGATCATCACTCACAACCGCATGCTGTTACCGCGCCTGGCCCCATATATGACGCCTCACTGCCCAGTGCCACCATTCTCGATGTAATACCAAGCAAACCGATTTACGAGCATCACAGCACTGTAACTGCGCCGGCAAGCACCATAATTAATACCGGATTCCTCCACCAACAGCAACAATTCGCAACACAGCATACATCTTTTGGCACAACCTCTTCAGCGAACTTCTATCCTGGTGCTTCTACTGTTGCTGGACATACATCTTATCCAACCACCGGTGGCGCGCATTTTAGTGGTACTATTCCAAGCGGTTTCGGCGCCACTGGTCACGTCTCTCCGCATTTTGGCGCTTCAATTCCAAGTGGTCCCGGCGTTAGTAACCACGGCTCGGCTCATTTTGGCGGACCGATTCCCAGCGGATTTGGTGCAAGCGGTCATGGCCCGAATTATTATGGCGGCGCCTCATCGCAGCCTGGTTACTCAATCGGCTATGGCACTAGCGGCCATGGCGGTGAGATTTTCGCCGGTGGACATTACAACGAATACGAAGAACGTAGTTCCAATCTCAGTGTGGCATTTAAAGGGCCAGTTGAGCACAGCAGTAAGCAGCATCATTTGAATGCATTGGACCATCGTAGAGGTAAAAGCCTGCGTTATGAGCAAAGCTTACGACCAATACCCACACAAGCGCCTGGTGCGGCTGAAGGTAGCGACTATGTGACATTTCCACGTGATCGGCGACGTCGCGATGTGGTTGAACATGAGGAAGCTGCGGAACGTAGAGAAAGTGTATTGCCGCGTACGGTAAAGGCAGAACAGGTAAAAGCGGAAATCCGAAAACGGAGATGTTAGTGACAGGGTCACATTAATAAAACTGATATATTTCTTTGTGTGTTATGTCATAAGGATATGTATATTAACTAGTTTAATTTACCACCAGCGCGCTTATTATGGCAATCGTCCCGTTGAGAAGACTTGCCGCGTCAACGAAGTCTGCTGCCGTCGGCCATTACGTCCAGCGCCACAACAACAACTTGGTCGCTGTGGCACACGCAACGCTGCTGGCATCACTGGCCGTATCAAGAACCCATCATACATCGATGGTGACAGTGAGTTCGGCGAGTACCCATGGCACGTGGCTATCTTAAAGAAGGACCCTAAGGAATCGATTTACGCTTGCGGTGGTACACTGATCGATGCGCAACACGTAATCACTGCAGCTCATTGCATCAAATCGTAAGCTTATTAAATATTCAAAAGGCTTGCCACTTACTTAACCTCTTTTTTCTTTTCTGAAAACTATAGGCAAAACGGCTTCGACTTGCGCGCTCGCCTAGGTGAATGGGATGTTAACCACGATGTCGAATTCTTCCCATACATCGAACGTGATGTGGTCTCAGTACATATTCATCCCGAATACTATGCTGGTACTTTGGACAATGATTTGGCTATACTGAAATTGGATCATCCCGTTGACTTCACCAAAAACCCACACATCAGTCCAGCTTGTTTGCCTGACAAATTTTCCGACTTCACCGGCTCACGTTGCTGGACCACTGGTTGGGGCAAAGATGCTTTCGGTGATCACGGCAAATACCAGAATATACTGAAGGAGGTCGATGTGCCAATCCTATCTCATCACCAATGCGAATCGCAATTGCGTCAAACTCGTCTCGGCTACAGTTACAAACTGAATCCCGGTTTCGTTTGCGCTGGCGGCGAAGAGGGCAAGGATGCATGCAAAGGTGACGGTGGTGGACCATTGGTGTGCGAACGCAACGGCATCTGGAATGTGGTCGGTGTTGTGTCCTGGGGCATCGGTTGCGGTCAAGCCAATGTGCCCGGTGTGTATGTGCGTGTTTCACACTACTTGGACTGGATTCGCCAAATTACGCAATACTATAAATGAGTAGTGGCACCAGCGGCAGCGACGCCTGTGCGGCCAACCACAACAGCCTATCACAGCTGTCAGTCGCAAGACCGAGATGTGTTCCACTTTCACTTCCGATAAGCCATTATTTTTGAGTAATATGACGAGTATGAGTATGAGTATATGATAATGATATTATTTATTTTTGTTAGTGTTGTAAGTGTAGGCACATAAGTATTTAAGTGCTCTCCAGTGCGACTGTTTGTTTTTTGTCATTTATTGTTTTTGTTTTCCTTACTATGTGTAAATATTTATTGCCTTCTTCTACATTTGTTAAATTATTTGTCTGCGCTTTGCGCGAAATGCGGTTGCTGCGACCACTTTTCAACACTTTTAAATTATTGTATTTAACTACTTGTACGACACACAGATGTCAAAACTTTTATAAAACTTTAATAAAATAAAATATTTTTAATAAATTGATATGAACAGTGATTATTGAGTTCCCATGGAGAAATGCTGAGGTTGCGCAAACTCGTCATGAAATAGTATAAGTTCTCACCTTTAGAAGCTCTTTTTCAAACCCATGAATAAAATATATAATTAGATATAAACGAGAAATATTACTGGGTAAAGTTGTGGCACTACTCGTATGTAGAAATTTTCATCTTCAATTTTATTATGGAGTAACTTTTTCAACTAATGGGGCCGTATGCCAACGATAACGTGCCGAATATTTTCTTCCAAGACATCAATTGTGTTCACATAACCCAAAAATAAATTCATTTTTTAATTGGATGTATGGCATCTAAAGCCGTCTATTTGGAGACAAGGGTCATACCAAACAATATTCTCCAATTCAGGCACGGGAAATTATTCAGTGTAGAAATTGCCTGTAATATTATTGAGGAACAACAAAACAAAATGGACAAATGATAGCCTCTGCCCATAGAGCATACCAAACAGCAATTTTTATGGATGAACACCAAGGTCTCAATAATGTCTTGGGGATTATTATCACTCCAAATGAGACAATTTAGTTTTTTAAGGATTCAAAAGAAACATGAGTATCGTTGCTGAACAAAAATTTCTTGTAAAAATAGGGATCGGTAGCCATCGCGTTTAACTAAATTAAGTTATATTTTCTTAACCACAATGCGGTGTCTTGATAAAATCGGCTCACATCTTCTCCTAGCCCTGATATACCAAATATAATAGGGGTATTCAGACTAGATTTGTTAATTCGTTAATTCGAATATTTTCTTAAAGACAATGCGGTGTCTTGATAAAATCGGCTCACATCTTCTCCTAGCCCTGATATACCAAATATAATAAGGGTATTCAGACTAGATTTGTTAATTCGTTAGTCGTTGCTCGGTAGATTTTTACGTGGGATTTGTTTTTGTAAAATTAACAGATTATCGTTTTACCGAGTAACGAAGTACCAGACTTGGTAACATCACTCAGCTGTTTTGTTTACGTTGTTGGCTCAAAAGTTAACTTAATTCATTGCGAAAAAATACATTTGCTGTCTACTACAAATTAGTTTCTGACACATTTTTCAAAAATAAGTATTTAATATAATTGAATCAGCTGTTTTGAAACAAAATTTACACCCACTACTGATGTAATGCAAAAAGTATGTTCACAGTTAAGTGTTTTAACGAAGTATCAACTAACGAACTACCAGATTGACAAGTTCGGTCTGAATACCCATAATGATTTTTCTTTTCTTATATAAAGCACCTTAGTGAATTTAAGTGCACATGATTACTTCAGCTTGGTATTTATATATAATATATAATAGGTTCTTAAGGTGGATGAAATCGGTTTAGACCATTTCCAATATAGTGGTAGCCACTGCTATGGTTGACTTTGTACTATCCATATCTGTCGACCATATCGAATTATAATTATCAATGATTTGGTGAAAAAATTTAGTGGTTTACATTTTTACCTTTAATATACTAATTAATTAGATTTCCTGCAAGTAGCTATTTCGAAATTTAAGCAAAATATCTTAATGAAACATTCGTAACACCTATAAATCAATACGATACCGAATGTGTCATACATATGTAAGAGCAAATGGTTCATAAGAAACAAGGAAATGTAATACAAGCAGTGCCGGATCCCCAAAATCGGAGAATGACAGTTCTGTAATAATAAAAGATATACTAAAGATGTTTTTCAGTACAAATATCAATAACAAGGTTACTTGCTTAAGGTGATTGATATACACACTTGTATGTAAATGCTTGTTTGTGCAAGGTCTACAGATCGATTCATGGAGTCCGTTACTGTCATAAAGTCATAGTACGGAAACTAAATTTAATTCAAATTCAGAAGAATTTATGAAGCGACATCAATCTTAAAAATATGTTGGAACTAAAATTTTTTCCGCAGAAATCCCTTCAAAGAAACTCTGGATCCGCCACTGAATGCTACCTTGCTTAGTTTATGAATTGAAGGTACATAGTATATGACATCTATTGGAATGACAGTAGTATATGACATATATTGGAATGACAACCGAAAACGAGTTTATTAAACCAAGTTTATTTGCCGCGAAAAATGTCTTTGAAATTTTGGCCGGAAGCCCCTCAATTGTATTGAGTAGGCGGAAAGGTCAAATATCCACAGATTCAAAGAAACTAAAGATGCAACAAAACCTTCCAAAAAGATAATTCGAACGAAATATGAACAAAAAGTTTCCTTCCCACTTTTCACATATAATATGGACACGCTCTCGATGATCCTAGGCTTGTTATGGCTACTGATAGTGGAAATACATACAAGCGCCAATACCTACAGAAGCATTTGAGCCACCTTCTTGATTGCAAATCCATATGTTTACTTCACATACATTGTGACAAAAGAGTAGCGCGGGTCCGTTTGAATGATTTTGGTGAATATTTTGGGTACGAAATGCGTTCCTGCTCGACTCGTCGTGATGAAGTTGATTTTTTTCAAATAGAGTACCTTAAACAGAACACTATGGACATGCTTTATCGTACGAATTCCGATTCCACATTCATGGGGAGCAGTACAACTACCGATAAGACATTGGTTTATGAGTTTGACATGCGAACAAGTGAACAATCATCGGAATGGAGGGAAAAGCCGAACCGAAACCAAAAACACCGTGCTCAATGTTTGTTTTTCGATAATCGTGGTGTGGTGCACCATGAATTTGTTCCGCAGAGACAGACAGTCAATAAGGAGTTCTATTTGACCGTATTGAGACGGTTGCGTGAAAACATCCGGCAAAAACGCTCGGGATTATGAAAGAACAATTCATGGATTTTGGTATTTCTACTAGAACTGGGTCACTGTAAAGCGGAAGAGGAATTAAAAAATAATAATTTGCGAATTTAATGAAAGATTATATAACCTATATTTATGGCTGAAAAAGCAGATGGTGCCTGGTTGCATCTCTTTATGATTTGATTGGCGTTGGAAAAGCGCGCTTGCGAAATTTGCCGCTTTTGATTGCTTTTCTCAATATTTTATTTTGCGCTTTTATTAACTGACCATATGCAACAGCTCATTAAATTTCTTTTACTATTTTTAAACACAACACAACACAACCTCACCTGAGCCCATATGCTCGTAATACCTAAGCAGCAGCAAGCGTGATAAATGCCAGTTGGAAATTTCACTTCCTCAAAAGCGCTTTATGCTGCAATGTGTGGTCTAAACTAAGCGAAACGAGTGTAGTAAAACCAAAATTTACAAGTAAAAAGAATGAACGCGTCCACTAAGTACCTTTGTGAAAAGTAACATAAGACTACAAAATAATGAGCACACACACGCACACATTTGCTTGGCCAGTGCCGCATTGCTTTACACGTTAGCAAGCAAGCGGCCAACTAATCAACTTGGCAACAAACAAAGTAACCGCCGTTGGACAAAATTGCGTTCATACCGCACTTTGTGGCCGTTACAAGTGGCTGCACGCCGTCGCCGCCGCTGACCGCCCTCCCACCAACACGTGCCACAAGAAATTCCTCAAGTGTTTGATTATGTGTGAGCGCGCATTGTTTTTGCTGGTGTTTACAAGTCATTTGCTGTGTATAAAATCAATGTGCAGGATATTCATAAGCTCATTACTGAATTTGCAGCAAACATGATCAAGTGCAACCTAGCCAACGCACTAGCCGTGCCGCTACTACTATTAGGTAGGTATTCAAATATTGGCAAACGCTCTGACTCTGACTCTGGTTTGGTGTTTCTTTGCGCAGCGCTCAGTTGTTCCACCGCAATTGGACGTCTCAATAAACGTAGCGGCTATATCTACAAGCAGCCAGCTGGACCGCCACATGCGCCAGCACACGGATTTTACGAGAATAGCAATTCACTGCATCCGCATGAGCTGCCGTCAGGTCCATCGCATGAGGCGCCCAGTGGTCCTTACTACGAGTACAAGCCATCACTGCCGAGTGTGCATTCACATGGTGGTGGCGGCGGTAGCAGTAAGAGTTTGGGCGGCAAGTCGGGCTACAGCATTGGCAGTGGGCTGCGCTCCATCGCGCAAGGCTCAGCCAATCAGGCGTACACTGCGGTGGCCAATCAACACGCCGCCGCCAAACAAGCTGCTTTCATAGCCAAAAACACGCTGGCACAGGCTGCCTCGCAAGCGGCTGCCACTGCGCAGGCTGCGCTGGCCGGTAAGAAAGTGATTTTGCAGGAGTTGGAGCAACAGGCAGCGGAATCGCAGCGCTCATTGTCGCGCGAGCTAGAACAATTGAAATCTGCTAAGATCGCGGCGCAGTTGGCACAGCAAACAGCGCAATCTGCTAATCATCATGTTTCTGTGTTAATAGCGGCGGTGAATAATGCGAAATCGCTGGCCGAACAGGCCGAGCAAGCAACCAGTGAGGTGGCCAATCAGTTGGCTTCACAATCGTCAATGGTCGGCCAGGCGAAATCGCGTGTGGAGCAGGTGGAGGAGCAGCTAAAGCAGGCCCGCATCGATTACGAGGCTACCAAGGAGGCGACACTGAAAGCCGCATCGTCTGCCGCCGAAGCTCAGGTGAATGCATCAAAGGCGGCTGCACACGCCACCATCGGTTTGCACGAGAGCACCAATCACGATCCGCCTAGTGCTGAAGGCGATGACTCGTCGTATGACATTGAAACTACTGCACACGGTCAAGAAATACAATATGAGGCGCACGGCGAGCATAGGCCGTAATGATGGTATGTAAAATAGTGTATGTTTTTGTAGTACACCAGGAAGGTGTATGGAACCTTGAAAAACCAAAATAAATGAAATGATGACACCAAGTTCGAGTTTTTATTTTAAAAGTACACGCGATCGAGGAAAATATTAAAAAGTGCAGTGCTGGTATCACTTAAGCCACAATGGGGGATGGTTACTAATTAGGCCAAATAAAGTCTTTTAGAAGTCTTCTCCATAAAACTGGTTTAAGAGCGCTACAAAAGTTTAAATAAAACCAAACCGGTTTGGAATATCAATGAAATTCTTTATTGCTGTGAAAGTACATTCGATGCCATTATGTATGGAACTCGATTTCATTTTCATTGCCGGGTGCGTACGCTTGCAGAAGTCCAGACGCTGAACCCAAAGTTCTAGTTACTGTAGAAGGTGAAACTCGTAGTTATCCAGAATAGACCCCGACATATACAATATATGTCCTGCCTCCGCATGACACTGATACTGGAAACATTTTTGCATGCCCCATCAAACCCACTCATCTGACACCCCTCTCCCTTTGATGTGATGTAAAGAAAATTAGCCAAAATACGGTTCGATAATTCTTGCGCCCTATGCAATTGCCTAACAGGCTTAAGGAGGCAATGTATATGTACAGCCGTTGACAGTTAATTAGAAACGCTGATGAGTAAGATGATAAAAAATTTTGATATACCGTTATTTATATGCCTTGCATATTTCTTGCATTGTTCGTGTTACTCTATTTACTACTAAATTCACTCTGTTTTGTAGTTGTGAATGTTCACATGAGCTATGAACGTTCTGCAACATCCCACATCGCATCACTTCATGTCACATCACATCACATCACGTCACGTCACGTCACCTCATCATACAACAGTTCACAGCATACACCAATACACACACACGCATCAAACACAGTACTTAACACCGCTCATTACTACAACACTACAACACAATAACTACACGATTATCAACGAGACCACTCGTAATCAGCTAATATTCATCACCCAAACCATCAAAAGAGATTGATCCGACCGGGATCGGGCTCTTGCCGTTTTCATCCGTGAAGCAAGGCAGTCGTCCGCGAAATTCAGTTTTTTCTTTTCCGTAATAACCACCGCAATTCCCTTTTGGACTTTCTCTAACTACACAGTGTTATATACAATAAACTAATATTTTTTTATTTTATTTATTTATTTAAAAGAGAAATAATTATAAATAATCGTTCCACTTATAGATATAAAGCACTGGCTGTAAGGGCTAAACTAATATTATATAGTGAAATAAATATTTTATAACGAGGGTGGAAATCAGTGCCTTTTATTTCCCATCTCATAGGTATATAGTACTATAGCAAGTAAGTATACTAGTGGCAAACGTTAACAGTGAAGTTAAAATTCTTTACATATTTTTATTATTTTTTTTTTCAAATAGTAAATGCGTTACAATAATTATTAAAATTCCTGAAGGTGTTAATTTTTGTTAATAACATTATTGATTTCTTAAAAAGGTGTGTTTCAAAGTTGTGGTTTAAAATATATTAAAATGTATTCAAGTTTTTTAATGAGTAAAGGCTCTCGGCCCTAAGTAGTTACACATTTGACCTCCGTCAGTTTGGAAAGACGTACAAACAAATTTCGAATCAGGTGAAATGCCCAAAAGAAATAGTTTTCAATGCCATAAGCATATAAAGAATTTTTAAACTGTTCCCAACGTTGCAATCAAAGAAATAAAACCCGAAAAACTTCAACAGAAATATACCGCAGAATTACTACCATCTCCCGAGGAGACCAAACAAAAGAGTTCCACTGACATTCTACATAAAATTGAAGACAAATATAATGTCCAAATATACAAGAAAACAATTGCCCGGCGTTTAGTCGAATTTGGAGAGCACGGCATCGGCAGCGCACATGAAACCACTCCTAACTAAAGTTCAAAGAAAAGAATGTGTAGACATTTCCAACGTTTATTGATTTTGAACAACAAATAAATGGTATGTTGTTTGGAGCGATGTAACCAAAGTAAATCGCATAGATTCTGATGGTCGAAGGTATGTTTGCCGACCAATCTATCAAGAATTTGATCCTCGCTATGTTTCACGCGTAGTGAGGCATGGTGGAGGATCAATCATGCTGTAAGAAATTTTTTCCTTGGGTGATGTAGGTCCGCTCCATATGATTGATGGAATTTTAAATAAGGAGATATACGTCGACATCCTAAAAAATGTAAATCTGTCATGGACTAATAACAGTTTGTCTGTTATATGGAAATTCAAACAAAATAACTATAAAAAGCACATAGCAAAGTCAATACAAAAGTTTTTTGTTGAAAATTCCATGAATGTTTTGGAGTGGTCTGAAGAGAACAAATCTGGGTTGATGTCAAGAAAGCTGTAGGTATCCTTTTCGATGAAATTAGGACGGCATAACAAGCAATACTAGTGATGCACTGTCAGAGTCATATAACGTCAATTCGCAGTGGATATGAACAACAAAATACTAACAGAAAGAAAGCAATATTTTTAATAGCAGTATTTTTTGCTGATTGTTTTTAAATCTTCAAAAAAAAAAGATTTTTAAGTAAAATTTTTACTAATTTAGTTTAAGGTTAACGTAAGTTTCAATAAAATTAGTGAAAAAACGGTAAAAATAAGTAATTTATTCGAAAATAATTTCATTTACTTCAAATTAAGTCGCGTTTTTAGTTGTCAACAGCTGTATATTTTAAAATCCCACACGTCTTCCTGTGTTTTCAGCGTGTAAACAAATCAGATTCTCCGATTATAATCGATAATACTTATAACTCATCCTTATTCGATGTAAGTTTACGGGGCATCTCGACAGGATAAAATCTATGTCTTACTGTCAAATTTATTACTATTGCCATTGAAAAATATGTATGTGGGCATTTGTTATCTGGACATAATCATTTGCGCAAAGGCGTAGGGTAGGTAGGTTCGAGCTGATGTAGCGCATGCTTTGAACTCTTGAAATTGCGAAATGCCGTCGGGTAGGTAGCTGATGTAGTTTTTATGAGGAAAATACGATCCTTTTTTTTACAAATGTATTTCTGGGAAAAATAAGATAATAACAAAGTAGAAAGATCCTTTTTTCCACAAACGTATTTCTGGGATATGAAGAAATAAGAATTCATATTTTTGGACTACTATATAATAATTGTGACATAAGTATACCAATTAAAATAATAAATTTGAATTTTTTGGAATAATGTTATTTTGAAAATGTACTTCATTTTTATAACCTGTCTCTTATACACATCTAGATGTGTATAAGAGACAGGTATACCAATTAAAATAATAAATTTGAATTTTTTGGAATAATGTTATTTTGAAAATGTACTTCATTTTTATAACATAACACAACCATCTTAATACTCGCTCTTCTAAATTTCATATTACCGAAATAAAAATGCCGTCGGCATATGTGCAAATGGGATATGTTTCCTCTTCGAAATTTTCATAGAATTGAAAACTGCGCCGTCAAACTGCTGAAGTGACAGCTTATTGCTTACAATGTATAGCAAACTAATTAGTATTCCATATATTGTAAGCAATAAGCAATGTGGAGTCTCCACAGGCAATAGGCACGGCAATACAGTTAGTAAGACATAGATTTTATCCTTTCGAGAGGCCCCGTTATGACTTGTGCCTGATAAATAAGCTAATTTCTTTAGTATCGATTTATTTAAAATTTAAATTACTAAGTTTTGCTATAAATTGTGGATGTGCTTATTATTTTGCTTTTGAAATAATATAAACAACTTCGATATACCATTTATCGACTTTATGCGCGTATACAGATATACAAAAAATATTGGAATCAAAACAGTACTATATTTCCAATTGTTTGATACACAATACCATTGCTTTGTTTGAAAAAGTCTATAAAAGTTGTTTCACATGGGAAAAAAGAATAAACGAAAGGGTCACCCAAAACCACATTATCGTGGACAACCACTTTGGCAACTGTTGGAGAATTTGCCAAACCACGGCGTTGGACGGCTAATAGTTCGTGGCTCCTTTCAGCAGGATGAAGAACATCCTAGTTATATGCGTATACTAACTGTAGATATGACATCAAAATCAGTAAGTTAATTTTAACAAACGACGAGTTTGCTAACTATTTTATTGTGAACAGATAAAACATCCTGACAATCCAAAAAATGCAAACAAAATAAGAATCCCTGTTACTGTGGAAAAAGTATGGCGTGGAGTAATTTTTCCTCGACCACAGAATATCCAAAGTACCAGCTACTTACCAGATTACATACTTATTCCTGAAGCAGAAGAAGAAAAGTTCGTGCGTAACGCGAAGACTGCAAGTGAATGTAACTATGTATATTGGACAGCTGGTCAAAAGAAAAGGATTAGAGAGCGCATAGAGCAAGGAATGTCGCCAGAAGAAGCTAAACAACGGGAGAAAGAAAGGATAGCCTTGCAAGAAGCTGAAGATGAAGGATCCGATGACATCGATGAGGATGATGAGTCTTTTGGCTATCAACATTTTCCTGAAAAGCATGTTCGGAAAAACTCAGCAGCCGCTAATAAAACAGGACAAGAAACATGTCGTGGTTCAAAAAGAAGCTGGCCTCAAAAAAGTAATGAAGTAAGCGCGAAATTAAGAAAACAATAATTGAATAGAGTTATTTAAACGCTTTTTCCATTACTTCATATGTATATTATTATTTGATCATGGTCAGATAGAAACTATAATTTTCAATCTTAACGATTTGTCTGAACTACATATATCTATACTTGAATCTGTATTAAATATTTAATGCATCGACAACTTTAAATAAACATACAAATGAATTAAAATACTTTAATTAAATTTCAAGTATTTTTTAACAACTTAATATATTTCGGTTAAGCAGGACTTATAAAACGCCTTCATACAGCTTTGGACTGGCTGGAGTACCTAGCCCCATTGTGCATTCAATAGTTGGCTTTTCACCCTCTTTAGCCAAACGAGCTAGTTTATTGTGGCTAACCTTATGATGGACTTTCATTATTGGCTCTTTCAATCCAGTCTCCTGCCTAATAAATTCGCGCAACAAAGGAGGAAACTCAATACTAGTTGCTAATATTTGCTCGGACACTTTTTTGGTATTGTTAGTGTATTTCGATTCTTCTTCCTTGGGGATTAGCTCATAATCCGGTTTATAGCTAGTCCTGTATATGGTGACTGGCTTTGGATTAATTACACCTCTCCACGTCTTTTCTACAGTTACTGCCACTTTACGTATTGGGTCCTTAGCATGCTATAAAATAAATAGTATACTCTTCAGTAGGTCTTAAGTTAGAAGTGTTCGAAATTTTACTCACATCATGTGGTGTAACCTCCACTTTAAGTATGCGCATATAGCAAGGCTCTTCATATCGTTGGAACTTGTTACGTATTATCAGCCGGCCAACTCCATAGTCACGCAGATTGCCTAAAATCTCCCACAGACTCTTGCCACGAAAATCGGTTGTACGTCCTATATATTTAACTGCGCTCATTGCTTTGTGTTAATTTATATTAAGAATTTGCTTTATATTAACAATTTAGCAGCAATAATTGGAAATTGTGATTATGAATAAAAATAATTGCTCGGCGATGCCGAACAGCTGTTTCGTTATGGAAATGCTTGAACGCATTCGCATTCAATGCTGACGGTGCTGCCACTTGAAATTATTAAAACGAAATCGAACAACAACCGTTTTCTTGCTTATTGCTCTAAAATGCAATGGAAAGTAAATTTTACACTCTCAAAAGGAAACTTTGGAGACCCTATAAAGTATATGCATTATTGATCAGCGTGACGACGTGAGCCGATTTGGTCAACTAAAGTATACATATTGAAAATGCTCAAATTTCCCCAATTTTATAAGTTTGTATATTTTTGTAATTCATAAATATATTTTCTTATTTTTTTTCTTTGCATAACTTTGTTTGTTCATACATTCTAGCAAATGCATATTTTGGAAAGTATATAAAACTACCTTACAAAATGGAATGTTTTTTTTTTTTTCATTTGAACTATGTATGGAGTTTTACAAATGACTGCTTCAATTGTTCTAATTTAAGCTAATACTAAAAACAATTCTATAAATTTGTGGCTCATATACGTATGTCGCAGTCTTGCTTATCTAAAACATTGGTCTGTGTCATTCTCTGGACTCCATAAGCCTTAGTTTTCTGGTTAGGTTATCCACTTCCAAACCTAATACATCTAAATTTTCCTGTAAAACATAAAAAATAATATAGACAAAAATTCTATATTATTCAAATGCTATTTTAACTACCTTTAAAGTTATATTTTTGAGCAAAGTATCCTCTAGTACTGCCTGCAGTTTCTTATTTATTTCCAGTGACAATTCTAATGTCATACTCTTGGTGTCGCCTTTAATGCCATTGTATATAGCTGACATTACACCATTGCCATATTTAGCCAACTCAGACTTGTTTTGATCACTTCTCGTTGAGGTAAGCGCACCTGCTTGATCGCGCAGCATATAATACTGTACGACTTTCGACTTCTTCTGCAGCTCCGCAACAAGTGAAAGTGTATGATTTTCCAAGAAATCAATTTTTTCCGTTTGTCGCGCTGAAGCCTGCTGCAGACGTAATATGCGATCAACTAAGTGTTTTTTGGAAGGACCCTAAAGCACGATTATTAATAATATTATCGCAAAAAACAATATTATGAGAGTTACCTGCAAATCTTGTTGTATAGTCGTGACGCTGCTGGCCATTGTTTCCGACTCGGATGTCTCGCTTGGCCGCCGGCTTGTGCTCGGTTGACTACTTTGACTGCTGGTACGACTATGCGTGCGATTTTGCTTGGCCGTAGACGCAATTCCATTTTCGTCAAACCCATTTGTTAATGGCACATTGGCTTGCGCGCTATTCAAAATACTCTTACATTGTGCGCAATATTGACCTGCAGGATGACTTTCTGAAGTTGTTGCATGCGCCGTAGACTTTTTGTACTTTTGTAATTCACGTTGCAGTTCCTTTAGAATACATTAATTTTGGCATTAGTGTTTTATCAAATAAATTTCTTAGTTTGTATGGTTTTACCTTTACAACAGTGGCGTGTTTATGCTTGGTCGCTTCGAAATCGCCTTCAACGTTTTCCAGTCTACTTTTCGTCACTTCATAAAGCTTGGTTTTTTCTGAAAGATGTTTTGCAAACAATTGCCTTTCCTCCAATTTTTTGTCGGCTTCAATTTTTAACCCCTCAAGTAATTGGTTATACTTGCTATCATACTCTAATTTCTCCTTCTTTAAAATATCATTTTCTGCCCCAACGCCTTGAACCTGGTAAAATAGGAATGAAATTGGATTATCTGATAATCGGTAGTTCTAATTCTTATAATAGCGTATAAGATACAACAATGCTGTTTGACAAATAGTTAGTATAGCCTCGGTGGCGCAGTAGGCAGCGCGTAAGTCTCATAATCTTAAGGTCGTGAGTTCGAGCCTCACCCGGGGCATTAATTTTTTTACTCTCTTTTAGATTAAATTTTTCCAGAAATCTCATGAAAAATAATTCTTTATAGTTACTGACCTTTGACTTTAGCAAACAAATCTCGTTTTGTAAGGCAACTATTGATTCACTAATTTCCTTATTAATACTTAACAGCTCTCTTTCTCTTTCACGCAACTGACATAAATCTTGCTCGTTATCTTGCAACTTTCCTTTCATTTCATCAGCTGATTGAGTGAGCGTGTTAATTTTTTCTTCGTTTCTAAAAAAATAAACAAATTTCAAAATAAATATATGCACGTTCTTATAAAATAATTATTTAAGTATCATAAGCTTACAAAGTATTTTGAGTTTTTAGCACCTGCAACTCATCCAATTGACAACGCAATTTTGCTGAATTCAACATTTCTTCGCTATAGGCATTTTGCAATGAATTGTGTTCCTCTTGCAGCTTCTCCAGCGCAGTACAAAGATCAGTTCTCTATAAAAAAAAAAAATACATTTTTAAAAATACATATACTACTATTAAAAATTTATTAACAATTACTTCCAAAATCTCTTTACTACATTGCTCTTGTAACGATTTAACTTCCTCCTTTGATTTATGTAATTCCCTGTGCAAATGCTCTATTTGATCTGTTTTACTTTTAATTTCATGTTTTAATAAAATGGTATTGGCCTCAAACTCCATTTTGAGATTTTCTAAAATTATGAAGAAAAATATAATAATTTTAAACAATTCTTATGTCACAAAGCCACTTACCATTAGCCTTTTCTTCCAATTTATTAGGCGCATTCCGTTCTTCCTCAAGCTTTCTTTCTAAAACCTATATATTTAAAATAAAGTTAAAATTATCATATGCAATTAAAGTAGTTATATTGATTACCCACCATTCTTTGTTCTATTTCAATGTTTAATTTATTCGCATGGTACTTAAGCTTCGATTCCAAATGTGAGTAATCTGCCTTTAGTTTCTCACACTCGCGTTGATATTTCCGCACTTCGTTACACTGAAGAATATTATATTAAATAGGTGTTTCTTCAATTATTTATAAACTTCGTACCTTTTCGTCAATTATGTAGGACATACGAGATTTTTCTTCATTCAACGCTTGAAAGCGGACGGACACATTTTTCACCTCCCTTTTAGCATCTGCAAGCTGCTTTTCCACCGTTTCCTTTTCCTTCTTGGCATCTAACAACAATTTCTCTTTCATAGCAAACTTAATTACCGTTGATTCTTTCTCCTTATTTGCGAGCTCTTTTTCTTTTCGAAACTGCAATGGAAAAAATATTTTTAAAATGTGCATGTATTTTGAAAAAAAAAATAATAATAATATTGTTACAGCATTTTTTTCCTTATCAAGTATGGCATTCTCTCGTTGATACAGAGTTATCATGTTATCTTTCTGCGCTAGTGCAGTCTGCAATTGCTCTAGTTGCTGTTCGTAGCTTTGCCGTTGTCGCTCAAGTTGCGCTAAGCATTCGATATGTGACAAGCTATCAACCTGTGACCTGGGTGTGCATGGTGAGCTTGGCGTACCCCCCGTAGATGGTGGAGTTGAAATATTAGTTTGGTGCAGATTTTCGGTATTGTCTGTCTGCTTATCGATTGCTTCCAAAGCAACTTCAGCCTTCATAGCTAAACCTTGGTTAGATTTTTCATTTTCGTTTGCAACAGCTGTTCCAACCAGTTGCTGCCCTGCAATCGATTTTTGTGTCAGCACCGCTTCAATTAGCTCTTCAACTGGATGTTCGACTTTTGGTATGACCACGTCTTGTGCAACACCTTGCAACTGCAGATTTGATTGTATTTCCTCCACTTCATTCCCTGCGTTACTTTCGTTAGCTTGTTCCGTGGGATTGTCTCCTTGTTGCACACTATTTCCTGATACTTCCATTTTATCTCCTAGCGTGCTTATTTTTACTTCAACGACAACAAGTGCATATTTTACAAAAAGTTGTTTATTTAATTATCTTTTCGCGAATTCTTCACCGATTTCTTTTTCATGTTTACGCGTCAAGTATTCTCGCAAGTGCTCCCAATACCTTTTTGCCAACAATAGTGCATTTTTTTATTACAAAGGCCGCACTGAAAACCTGCTGTTTATATATATAGTGATGACACCACTTTTGTTTCAGTGGCATTAATCGCTTATTGAGTACTATACGATAGTTTTGGAATATTGAATGTCGATATATATTATTAGTATATAAACAGAATTGTATGAGGGGTCATCTAAGATAACGAGATAGCTTGAGCTTTTCTTCTAATGACTGGTATTCTGCGAAGTTAATATTATATTTTGGTTGTTTCCCGAACATAATGTCATGAAAGTTATGTTAGATGTCCCTATCACAAAATCCCGGGTTACTTATCCAACAACGCTACCACAGATTTCTATTAAATTTTCCAATAGCTTTCAACTCAAAATTGACAATTCTAACTCAAGCACCTGTGGTATTTCCTCCCATTCTTACGCGGAGGCTTTATGAGCTGCCGGGGCATAAAGGGGTAGCCGGCAATGAGCTGGCCGACGAACTAGCCGGCTCTGCGGCAGCGTCCAATCATGGGACAAGAACCATGCATTGTGGTTCTGCATGGAGGAGAGAGTACTGGCAGCAAGGTGCAGGAATGCGCCACACCAAGATACTACTACTGGTAGGGTACAACCTTGCAAAGTTTAAGGATATGATCAATCTCTCCTGAGACAAATTCCGCCTCCTTGTCGCGTTCTATACAGGGCACTGCAGGTTCAGGAAGCACTTGTCCAACATGGCATAGTCTCTTGCGCAAACTGTCGGTTTTGCGACATGAAACAGGATACTCAAGAACACAGGTGTTCTAGATTCCCCAGCAATTTGTAGAAGCAGGCTCCAAGCCCTTGGTTTCGTCTACGTGGACAAGGCTCACATCAACTCAGTCGCGTCCAGCAAGCTCCAGGAATTATTCAGTGTGCGGGGCCTTTCTGACCATATATTACACAGGAGAGGGCCCAATAGAACATAGGTCGTAGCGAAAAGCCTCAGTTTTCTATATATCTATGTATGTTTTGCAGGTGTAAATGTTTGCAGTATTTACTCAACTCATTTTGGTGCGAGAGTGCGAGCGATTTAAAGATCTCGCTGCGACTCTGCGTCTGGATTATCC